TTGTTGTAACAAGGAGGCAATAAAGAGAGATTTTATTTTATTTTTTTTTTTAGATTAGGCGATTTTTCGCCATATAAGGCTACTTCGAGGGGTCGTGCGGCGACTAAAAAAAATGATCGGCGACTCGGCGATATGTAGGCTATGTTTAAAATCGGAAAAGGCTATTTTAGGCTACTTAATAAAATGTCTGGGGAATTACAAACTTGATTGGTGATTTTGTGGCGAATGGAATTGTAAAACAACTCATTTTGAGGGTTTCAGTGTTTCTAGGTGTGGGGAATAGGGGAAATAAAAGAGTTCATATTCCCCAATTTCCGCCAGCAAGCAGAATTGTAGAATTGTTTTCCTTGATTTGTAGGGATTTTATGGCTTGGGCGAATATCGGCTACTTAACACACATAAATTGGCGAATTAGCTTCGCAAAAGTCTGGCAACACTGCTCACAAGGGTAACTTTATTTGTTATATGTTATGAAAATACATAGATTAATTTAGTTATGGGCAGATATTTAATATGTAGCTGACTATCGCATTAGGTAAAATACAGTAATGCTAGTTTATACATATTGATAAACAAATAAGTTGTTTTGTAGCTTTTGTTTGGCCTTCAGTTGAGTCGTGCATTGTTAACAAAATATAAATTAAATATTGGTTGTGTTTTATTATTTTAATTTACTCGTAAAAAGTATTCTATGCAATAATTACATAATTAGGTCTTGAAATCTCGTATGTACTGTAAACAGGGCACTTGTTAAATTGACTTGAGTATGATTCAAAGCACTAGAAATCATACTCAAGTCCTTGCCATTAGGGTCGTATTTTCAGTGCTTGAAATCATACTCAAGTCTGCTCAAATCCTGACTTGAGCATTGACTAGAGTTCTGGAATACGACCCCTAGTGGCTAATGCGGGAAATATTTTTCCCTATACATACACATTATCTCCAAATTCATGCAAAAAAAGATATTTCAACAATGAAACCTTATGAAGTAGTATATCAAATAAGTAGACTAATTTGTATTATGAAATAATATTAGTAGTTTTGGTCATCCATAAGCGGCCACATTTTCCGTAAAAATTAAAAAGTTAAAAGCAACATGGCTGACTGAAACATGAATGAATACCCTATTAGAAAGAAACGCATTACTACTTTGAAGCCTCTCACTCGGCTCGTTTTATTAACTAGTGCGCGGTCCAGTTTAATATACAAGTTCGTGGGCAAAGAAGAGATGCCAACGCCATCTATTATTTAACGACGTCGCTATTCCTGGACGTCCAAAGCAAAATGTGTACGTAGTGATTAGACCGTGGTCCACCATTATCGTTGTATGGATGTGTCATCACGCAAATTCTCTATAATCGTAAAAAATGCCTCGATGTTCTGTTTTGGAGTGCAGAAATAATAGCGGCATCAAAAATATTACTCGTGGTGGAATTACATATCATCGGTAAGTCTTACTTTAATAAAATTTTCGTTTTTTGTTTAAAGAATTGATTTTTTTACTGTAACAAACGAAAATAAACATTATCTCAATGCGATATGGTCAAGTTTTTACTTTTGGAGAACTAAGAAAACATGTCGAAATTTTCACGTTTTAGTTGTCACTAAATATGAGGCCAAATTTAGCACTTGTCATCGCGACGTGAATAGAGATGTGAACTATTCATATCGATAGTCACATTAAGCAATTTTCACGAGAAATCGATTCATAATTTCGTGACTTTGATTGTTTAGATTATTTTTCGGTTCATTGCTTTTCAGTTCTAGATAGTACAATTAATATTTATTCAAACATTATATAATTAAATATAAGTATTTTAAATGATCACAACGATAACCTGTACTTGTTGTAGTGTAGTTACGTTGCAGTGTTCACAAGGACAAACTGTAGTTATATAGCAAAATTCCGAAGTAAAAGAAAAGGTGTGTACCTTTTCTTTCAAAATTTTATTCAATTCAATTTTTTATTATCGGAAGACGAGCCAAAATCGTCAGATTAGCTAGTGGCACCAGCATGTACATTAAATTCGTTTTCATGTATATTGTCAATATTTACATCTTTATTAAAATCTTTCTTTAATAATATTCTCGTTTTTCGAGTACTGCTGGATCGATGTCAGTATTGGCAATTCAAAATTTGCAAACAAGAAAAGGAAATACAAGTCTGCACGACTTCACGGCTATGACTACGCGGCTCTTTGAAATTTTTGTTTTAATATTCAATATTTTTTTCGAGAAATCGAAGTGACTCGGTGAAATTGGGCGATTAATTGGTTACAAAACAATTATTTAAAAAAAAAAATGATTGAGTACGTAACTGTTTTCAGGACGTTTCGGAGTAACTGAAAATAGTTTTTTTTAATTCATGCGAAAACAGTACTTAAATATGTTTTGTCATTATTATAATTATAGTGTTTTAATAAAATTTATGTATTTTTCAAAAACTCAATAAGTTTATAATTGTTTGTTTATGGTTTCCTTGATTGTATTCAAAGTTACCTAATATCGTCTGTTTCAGCTATCAAATTTGGCCTCTTATTTGGTGACGACTATGGTAGCGGGATAAAGCTTCCGAAATTAGAGAGAGAATGAGTCGATAAAATTATCGATGTTGTTGATATTGTCTTTGTTCGAGTTTTAAATTTGTAATAGGTACAATCGTGGATTACTTCCTAAACATCGTGCGATAGTATCTTTATGATGAAAGTATAATTATCATTATTATAATGGAATGTACCTTAATCTTTTCAGATTCCCACAAGATCCTTTTCGAAAAGAAAAATGGATAGAAGCTACTGGACGACAAAATTGGATGCCGACAAAATTAAGTACGATTTGTTCGAATCATTTCAATGAGAACGATTTTGTCATTTCAACAAAAGGGTTTAAATATATAAATAACACTGCAATCCCTACTCAAAAAATTGTTATTTTAATGAATGTAAGTATAGATATTTTTGCACCATAAATCATTGTCTTTACCTGAAGCAACTACAACTTACCATCTTTTTGTATACATTTACATAATGTTTTGTGTAAGAATTGATGTGCATTTTAATCCCCTTTTTGTCATAACAGATAAATCCGGATGATGAAGTGGGCTCAAGCGGTTTAAAAAAAAGGGGGGACCATTTCATAAATAAAGATGATGGTATGTGCGAACCTTGTGTAAAAGTTTGCAAGGGCAATATAGATTTATTAGGTAAAGAAGTCACTGTTCCAAAACCCATACCTGTCACGTCAGGAACTTGCGATGCAAATAATTTTGGTGCTTTGACTGGTACCGTTACAACAGAAAAGAACCTCAAAATGGACAGCAATGCAGCAACTGTGCATCAAAACATTGTTGAAGAAACTGAATCCGAAATTGTAAATATATTGCACAAAAATGAAGGTCAGTTACCTGTATCTACCTGCTCAACTCCAAAGAAAAGAATACTGAGTAATAAGTTACGATGGACTGAAAATAAAGTTAAAAAACAAAATGCAAAAATCAAACAGTTGCAAGCCCAAAATCGTAGACTAAGAAAAAAATTAGTTAATGCGGAAGAAATTTTAAAAACGTTGCAAAAAATGTTTGGTATGACGAGTGAAAACATTAGAAGCTTAAAAAATATTAGTGTGCAGGTTTGTCTTTGTTATTAATTACTTAATTTAATAATGCCAAAAATATGTAAATACGTTTTGCATTTATATTATTAGTGGGACACACACATATATATATATATATATATATAATATATATCCTTGATAAGTCGATTTATCTCAAAAATTAAACGGCAAAAATAAAATTGTTTTATTTGTTGTATTTTACGTTTAAAAAAAATCATCAAAATCATAGTACTATCCGGGTTCTTGGAATTATCCAAGAATGCATGCATTAGCACTTTTTTCTTCTTTCTTGACTAGTCTGCGTTTACTATTATTTTGTGGCTAGAATAATCAAGTACTGACTATTTTGTAGGTTCAAGAACTAGCGGCGCGTCAAGTTGTTAATGCAGAAGCCAATGTCAAACCAAGATAAAATACTCACCAGCTCACAGATCTTTTGCCTTAATATTACACTATTACTGGCCTAAGGCTTTTGATTATTCTTCTTTTGAATATCCAAGAACATTAAAAAAATGATATGCCAAAATTGCTGAATAACCCGGCTTTACAAAGGAACCCTTTACACCTTTGAGAAGCAAGGAGAAGCAGTAATTAACGAAATGAGTATACAATGCCGCATTGAATGAGCTGGATAAAAATTTCATGACCACTTGACTGAGGCGAAGAAGGCGTTGGTGTTTTTGATTACTGTTATCAATAGTAATTTTAAAGTACCTGTCGGTTTTTTCCTGGTGGAAGGTGTCACGGGCATACAAAAGTTGAATTAGTAAAACACTGTAGTCTAGAAATGGTTCACAGCGCACGAGTAAAGGTTGTGGCTTCAACTTTTGATGGCTGTGCTGCTAACACGTCAATGGCTGACCATTTTGTTGGTTGGTTGCTACTTTCAAGACTTCAAGGTGACATTTTAACATCCAGTGACTCATGAACCTATAGTTGCAGCGCTGGATTCTTGTCAAATGATAAAATTAATCAGACATTTTTTTGAAAAGCAGGATCGAAAAAGAAACATTTGAGATATTAACACTGGAATTTATATTTATATTTATATTATATTAATTTTATTATTATTCTTTTATTTTGTCTTATTCTTCTTCGGTACGTATTTAAAAAGGCATTGAATTAAAATAATGTTAAAGGTGTATTTGAATTTATTAATAAACATGGCATGCGACTATAATTAATCTATTTTCAAGCTTGAAAACGGAACTCTTATAATAAAAGTCTGAGAAAAACTGGTTTCTTGGGATTCATGAACTGCATCAAGGCTTTGAAGCACTTGTACGAGAGTCTGATTTAAACTAAAATCGTGACATATTTACCTTTTTACAAATTGGGTCAGGACCATCTTGAGCTTTTGTTTTGTAACATAAGGTCACACGGAGGATCCAACAATAATCCAACGGCAAGACAGTTTTAATCGGCTTATAAAAAAATCTTGGTACATGTCGAACTAAAAGATACGAATGGAGGAAATTGCACCGCATTGGAACCGTTGTCTATTCTGAACTGTTTGTCGGCTGAAGTACAGATATACAACATGTGGTTTAAACATTGCAGAAAATGAGGACAATATTAGTAAAAACGAAACTTCTGATAATTCAGATTTTGTAGAAATTAATTTATCAGATTTCGGTCATCACGCCATAATATATGTATATTGCTGGGTACATTGCAAAGAAAATGATTACGTCGGTACATTGTGATATTTGTGTGAAGGAGCGTTTACCATCACAAAATTAGAGTCTTCATAAATTCATCATGGTGAAATAAAGGCGGTCTGCTGTATCCGTCAAAAGAATACCAAAAAGATTTGCCAAATTACAGAGACCTAATTTAATCACGATTAGAGGTCAGGTACTCTCCCAATTGATGGCTCGAAATGGTATCTAAGATACTTATTCCTACTTATTCTAAATTTTTGTCATTATAGCTTGTTTTTGAATATTATTCTCACCAAAGTTTTTGACAAATGTCTCTGCAATTAAGGTAGCGTGGAATTAAAGCTTTTGTTATCCGCATATCAGCATACATTATTTACTGAAACTAAAATTAAAATCTAAAAAGCAACTAAGTACGTTTTATTTCAAGAACAAAATATCAACATTTATCTTCCACTTCTTTAAACAACCCATCAAGAACATAATATAGGATTTTATCTTTTTTTTTCACAGAATCGTGTGTTTTATGTACAAGCCTATTCATATATGTGGGAGGGGCTTAATAAATGTTAGTATCCAACCATTTATATCCAACCATCTTCGACGACACATCCATTACAACATAACTATTCTTACAAATCCAAACAAATACTTTATACCATACCACTATTCTTATTGCTCATGTGATGAATGATAGTTTATTTGCAAATTATTTTAATTTTCGCCTAAACTATGCTACTAAATAGCATTATACTCGTATATATAGCAAATCGTATCTTCATAACAAATACTATACTATTAGCGAGAACTATTGAATCTAATTTTTTTTTAAAGAAATTACAAAACGCTAAAAGTAAAGATTTATTGAAATAATTAAGAAATTAACAAAGTAACGAGAGAAGCTAAATGATCGTGATTTCGACGGCAAAGAAATGGGCGCGCGCTGCCGGCGTGGCGAGCTTAAATACAACTGCCCTCTCCGTTCGGTCCATCGAGTGGCGTGATGTTGCAGGCCACGCCCACTAGACTAGGACTTTCTCCTAATAATACATATAATAAAATGGTATTACTTTGTAAAGATTAATACATTGAGTATTCCTATTAAGTACATGTAAGGATTCACCTTGTAATTTTCTTTTTATTTTCAACATAATAAACGATATTTTATACCGAAGATTTTCTTTTTCCTTTAAAAAAATTTCTTTTAATATTAATATCACTTATCGATAACACAAGAATTCTACTACGCGCATCTCTAGTGCCAGCGAAAGGTCCTCTGTTGCCGAGGAGATACTACATTATATTCGTTCGGATGTTAGTCGTTCGTCGTAGTCCAGCTACTGGCCACTAGATCGCAGCACGGTGTATAAAATTTCAATAAATTCGAAACGTAATTTGCAATGAAGGTACGATAATGATGATGTACTATACTTCAACGAAAAGTTTAAATATCCAGACTTTGTTACATCTTTTTATATTATAGGATGGCAGTTCCGACACTTAGTTCTGTTTAGTTTTCAGACACTGTGGTAAGACTAAGGGTTAAGCAGATCACATAATGGTGGTAGTTTTTCTACGATGCTTCAATCAAACGCAAATTCGTTATTTGTTATTCAATGCTGCAAAGCTGTTGTTTGCCGCGAGTGATTGTATTGAAACCTGAGTAAGCGAAGGATTCTAAGATTAAACCATGACCGAAGCGAGTGGTTCCAAAATAATTCTCTTTATTCTAATTCCTGAGCGTAGCGAGGGTTTCAAGGCAAGCGAAACAACTTTGCTGACGAGCGAAACACACAACTCATGGTCGATGAAAGAAAAACAGTTCAACTATAAAAAAATAATTTAATAAAGTTACTTAAATTAGGTAGTTATTGTTGTCAATTAAAATGTCAACAATAATGAATAAAATATACTAACGGATTGTATTACTTAATTAATAGTGTACGACAAATTGCATATAGTTGCGTCATTATGTTTTTTTTTCAAAAAACCTTTTCCATTAGATTGGAAAAGGTTTTGCGCGCAGATTTCTAATGAGAAAGAAAGCCTTTCCGAGCTAGTGAGGTGAAAAAGTTATTTACATTATTATATTTAGTAGCAGTAGAGCTCCTTGGGAAAGAGTTCGTCAGAGGAACTACAGCCACCTTACCAATTTCTGCTGGAAAGCAATAATGTGAGTAATTGCGTTCCGATTTGAAAGGGTAAGGGTGCTGGTAACATTATAGGCACATGGGCTTCGTCAACTTATGTCTCAGGGCGCAGCGGCTGTGCCTGCTGAAGCTCTGAGCGGCACTGTTATGGACAAGCGTGTCGCTTATCACCAGATGTACGACTTGCTACTAAAACTCTAGTTTGACATACAGACGCAGGTTCGAGTCCAGTCAGATTGGTGTTTTTCTTCGTATTCGTTTTTTGTATTCGATCGATCAAATTACCATAGAAAATTGACAACCATTTTCGCAATCGCCAGGGACATTGAGTATATAACCAGAAATAGAGACGAAATAAGGGCCATCCATCTCTGGCAGCTCATCAAGCAAATGGGCCTTATATAACTTTTAAATATCAACTCTCGTTTGCGCTGAAATCACATTAGAAAACTGAAATAGTACAGCGCCAACAATTGACCCTGTGTGTAGATACTTCTTAAATGTTCAAACATCTAATTACAAAACAAACTTAATTGATATGTAATTTTTCAATTTTCATCCATTACAGCAATGTTCAAGTTAAACTTGTCGATTTGTGAAACAATGGACGACACCATGACGACACCCGTCAATTGTTTCAAATTCGGGCTGGCCAATTGGAGCGCAATTGTCACAGTTAATGATTTGGCAGAATAGTTTTCAAACAAATTAAATGACATTTCGTCTCTATTTCTGGTATACTCGATGGCCAGGGACAGCTGTGAATGTAATTCATGTACACACCTGATTCTTCTACTCCGCAAATCAGCAGCCGGATTTAATAATGGCTGTCTTTCTGGGTCCATTATTAACAGGCACTAAAATAAAATCACAATTATTTAACAACAAGTATCGACTCACTGACTGTAGGTCACTGACTGACCCAAAGATAAGGACATCACGTTAAGATTGCATCGCCCTATATTGCAATTATGTTTGAGTATGTTTGTATGATGCTACGTAACTACTACTATTACAAATTACTTCACTAGTTTGTTATAATTATTAGTACAAAGATCGAACACTTAGAGAAGATTTCCTTTGATCCGGCTGGATTCGAACCACCGTCTTTTAGCAAATCGTGCCAGACGCTATGCCAACTAAGCCAAGCCACGGAACGGATTAAAGGACTTTACGAATCTTTGTTTTGGTTATAGGAAATGAAACTATTTTTCCGGATTTAAATCGCGTATAATATTTGTATTATCAAACAAACCAAAACCAACCAAAAATATACAATACGTTAAATAAAATAGTATCTTTTTCTACGTGTATAACAATCGAGAACTCGATTTGTTTTGGTTTTTAACAACGTTACGACGTAGCGCCATCTGTGAGAAAACTATGAAAGTTTTTCTTCACTCAGCGAGGTACCTTTAGCGCCTAGTTACAGTAGGCGAAAGTTTTTGCGTGGCCGCCGCGAAGTGACCGCCCAGTTAGAGACCGCCCTCACGTACATTAATGGCAAATCTGAATTCTATTTACTAAGCAACTACATTTAAATTCCTCTGAATAATACAACTTAGAGAGCATAACGATTAGAGCGTATTTTGCCATGATAGTTAGGCTCAGCTCACATTGACGCAGAGTCGAAGCGTCGCGACGCGTCATCATTTTCGCCTATAACATATTCATCTCTATTTTCCCATTATTACAAATTTGTGTTATGCAAATATGGAGTCGCATGTCGATGCTTGGTTGCAGTCGAGCAGCTTCGCTATTCACATGAGCGCTGTGAGGCGTCAGACCTCACTGTGATCCGAGCGCACTAATGCGAACGTCGGCGCGTGTCGCCCTTAAAAGTTTGCCCTTAGGTACTAATAAATAGTTACATTTCATTTAAATTTTGATATTCAAATTCTAATAAACACAGTAGATACTTTTTCACTAACGTCATTTTGCCAATATTAACTGTAAAGAAGTCTTTTGTGCACTCGGAAAGTTTTCTTTTGTTTTAGGCTTTTAGTGTGCTCGCTTTGGGAGTTATTTTTGCATCCATTAAGAAAGTCACAGTGGAAAAAAACCTTGAGAAGGTTTGACTAAGCAAACTTTTAATGGCACGTTGATGTGACACGCGATTTTTTGGTAAAAGCGATATCTTTTCGTCGTCGATTAAGATTTTGAAAACGTAGTTGTGTTAACAAATGTAATCTAAACTAGTGGAGTAATTTCAC